AACAAAGGAAGTTGTGCAAGCCACTCCCACAAAGGAGGCCACACCCACAGAGTAGGCTCCAAAAAATTTTTGAAACCCACCACTGCATAGAAGGAAGTTCTGTCAGGAAGGGGAGCTTTTCTAACAAAGTTTACTAAAGTTAAAATGAAAAGAAATAATTATTTAAAGCAGGATTGTCCAACCTTGGCAACTTTAAGAGGACTTCAACTCACAAAATTCCCTAGCCACTCATCTCTGGTTTAGATATTATCTTTCTAGGCAAACTGGGTAAATATTTGCAGATCTATCTCATTTTCTTTCTTTTTTTTTCTCTTTTCTTTCTAGCAAAAAAGAAAATCAATTTTTGTCTTAGGGGTCCCCTAAGTAGAAAGATGTTAACCCTTCCTCTTTTCCCCCCACAAACATAGACCTTGAAAGCAAGAATACCATCAGTTCCCATCTATGTCACGTTTTTGCTACTTTTCCCATCATCTTGAAAGATCACAACTGTTCCATCACCATCAGCGAACTCCTTCTGACACCTAGCAGAGAGGAGAGTTAGAATTGGAGATGTTCCGGCAGATGACTACAGTTTCTATAACATGAAAATAAATGGTACCCTCTCCCATTATATTCAGTTCACTGGGCCATTGACTTTATTCTGCTTTTGAGTAATGTTGCAAACAGTTTGACCTTCTCAAACGAGGTACCCATTGATAAGATTGACACATGGATTGGGAATGCTGAAATATGTAACCAATATCTAACTAATCTCGCAATAACACTTTGGGAAATCTGGTTCATGTCTCCTTAAGCATGTATTGGCCCCCAAACCTTTCTGGCTTGGTGAGTCAGTGGGTGGGAGAGCTGATAGTTCGGCGTCAGTGGGAGGTGCTTGCACAACTTCCTTTGTTGGGGGTGGGGGCGGCCACGCACACCCACCACTCATACAAATGAACTTGCATGTGCTCACACAAGCACCTGCCACTTGTGCAAGTGGAGCTGCTCACACTGAGCCGAGGTGGCGCAGTGGTTAAGGGCGCAGTACTGCAGGCCACTTCAGCTGACTGTTATCTGCAGTTCAGCGGTTCTAATCTCACCGGCTCAAGGTTGACTCAGCCTTCCATCCTT